ATATGCTAATGGCATATGGTGAGGACCAAAACACAAAATGAGGATTAATGTCTGAGACAGCACAAAAGAAATCCAGTATTCCTCACCCATCAGCTCGGCCACACTGTCCAGGGCGGGAAGAAATGCAAGCCAACAATCTTCCACTGCCAAATTGCTCTTCAATATGAGTGTCAAGTGCACGCCCCTGCTGGCGCTTCTCAAGCTTCCTCTGCACATGATTGCTCTTCTTTGTTTCCTCAGCTATAGCCTCACCCTCTTGTCCCTACACAAACAATAAATGGTCAGTTACAGGAAACAACAGTTGAGCAACAGAAAGAAAATTTAATTTAACTATTGTTTTATTTCCAAAAAAATTATCGCCAAGAATCAGAAGAGAATGATTGCAAAAATCAAAATAGCAACTTCAGTCTTTTTCACATAGAAATGTAAAACAAGCATAAACAAAGTAGCTGATGAAATACAACATGCTGGTCATATATGGAAGAGATTCATTGAGAAACTGCAAACTACAGAACTGCTAGGGGTACACAGTATGCACATGTTAAAAACAATGCATTAGTAAGATATCTAGCAAGCAGCTATTCACCAAATGCAACAATACATGAACCTAAATTCAATCTATTCTAAGGGCAAACAGCAATTAAACCTTGAATTGCATGAATAATACCTCAGCTGCATCCTTCTTGGCAACAGGCGCCTTCTTCTTCCTACCGATGTCCACTCCATAGTGCGTGAGGTACCACTGCTTGAATGGAGCAGCATCAACTTGTACAATGGTGCTCTTCACAAGAGTCTGAGTCCTCACAAGCTCATTGTTTGATGCATTATAGACCACATCCAGGATGCGGGTCTTGCGTGTAAGAGCCTCACTTCTTCACAAGAGTCTGAGTCCTCACAAGCTCATTGTTTGATGCATTATAGACCACATCCAGGATGCGGGTCTTGCGTGTAAGAGCCTCACTTCCCCATGAGTAGTTACCTGTATCCAAGCGGAGAGCCCTCCACTTCACATTGCCTCCACGGACACGGACCCTCCTCACTGTCTTATTGCTAGACAGTTTGGTGTTGGCAGGCTGGCGGCCAAGCTCATACCTTCATGACAAACGAGAATCTTGAATTAACTTCTGAAACTCACAATAGCCAAGCAAAAAGGTTAACACAATATACAACAGTTAGTAGCTTGCAGTTGTACTATGAGCTGACCGAACCAATTCACATTCACATTAACAAAACTTACATGTCCAATCTTTATCTTTATATATAAAAGAGACGTCTGATATGCAAACAATCCTGCCTCAGCACATCATAGAAATCACAACTGTACTACTAGAATAAGTAGTAATAATAACACAAAATAAAGATTCCAAATTAAAACCTCAAACGGAAAGATACATAATATTGACCACAGTGATCCTTCTAACAATTCATTACAATACATACATCATTTCCACAATTTAAGTAGCTTGTTGTTTCATTAGAAGCATCACGTTATGATTTAAGGATTGAAGGGGTAATCTATAAGGCTGAACCGCATAAAACACTGGAGGTAAAGGTAACCAGCCAAGTGAATGACTCAAATCAATTGCTACCGCCGCAACCACACACCGATAGATGGAAATGCAAATCTACCAACCCCAAACCCTGGTCCAGCGAAGCACTTAGCAAATCTACAGAAATACAGCAAACCCATACCAACCGAAATGTAAGGAGTGAAGAGAAACGGCAAGCAATTACTTTCGCTTCTTGCGCCATGCCTTCTGCTTTCCACCGGTGGCCCGGCGCTTGTGCATCTAGTCACGCAAGATACCTGCGTGGACAAACCCGAAACAACCCGCGACGCCATTAGCACCGCCCCAACCGAGCAACCACCACGGCCACTAGGCCAGCGCAAGCAAAACGAGAAGCAGATGACGGTGTGGGAGCTCTACCCATGGTGGCGGTGGCGGTGTCGAGTTAGTCCGGCCGCTCTACTCCGCCTCCTCGTCAGCCAGCGCCGCCGCTGGTCTGGTTGAGTCTCGACGGGACGAGGAGAGCGAAATCATGGGGCGTCGAGTTATATAGGGGCGGCGGCCGCGGGTTAGGGTTTATTAACAGGTAGGTGGGCTCATCTGACGGTGGAGATGACGAGACTGGCATTCTTAGGTTGCAGCGGCCCAGCAGGCCTGTGACAATTACAAACGTACTATTTTATTAGAAAAAGAACTAATTTCCCTCCGTTTCTCTCTAAACTACACATTATTTTTCTGATCTTCTTCAACTTTTAAAACAATTTATTTTGCACCTTAAATGGTTTTGATGATGTAATGCCACAACCTCTAAATCGGACTAAGTTCAAAGTTCAGAGAAGTAAATTGGACTAGAAATATTTTGAAAAAATATCTAAAAATTCATAAAAGTAAATTTTCAATAATTTATCCAAATATTTTACATGGAAAAATAACACAATTAAAAATCTTAAAATTTTCTTTAAGTTTAAAAATTCATTAAAATTTTGTTTTACCTCGAAAATTATGAAACTACTTTCAGTTTTTTCTTCTAAAATCATGCTTTGTCTTATGGTCCGTAGCATGAAATTGTTTGAATCTTGACGGACTCATTTTGTTGCTTATTTGGTAGTAGTTTCGTTATCTATTGTAAGTCAACGTTGATCGTTGTTGATGGTCACTAAACACCAATGATGACCATCAACATTCCACCAAAGTGAAGGTAAATCAACATTAAAAGTAGAAAATAATGTTTATAAATGACCTAGTTTCACTTTTACTTGAAAATATTTGAATGCAGAAAATTTGCTCAAAATTCATCAAATTCAAGTTGGAGAAGCTAAGTGGACGTGGCAGGGGAGGCCAGGGCCCACTTGGTGGGTTCAGCGCGACCCCACCTTGGGTCACCCAACGTCCACCTAGTCCTGCCACGTGCCAAGAGGAGAAAACACACTTTGGAGCACTCTCAACCATTGATCCAATGTCGGGTTGTGATGAGCCCATGGCTCCTCAAGATTCAGCTATTATTTCTAAGAAGAATTCTAATATGTCAAATATTTCTACTTCAATTGATTTATAAAAAACGAATACAAGAGATCATTCTTATATGAAGTTTACTGAACAAAGTGAACAAGATAATGCAAATGATACGCAACCCATGACTCAGTTGGTCATGGTCAGCAACAGTAAATACTATGGCTTTCCTTATCCCATTTAATTGTTATTATTCAATGTTTTACCTATACCAATCGTGCTTGTGCTATGCTTGACAAAAAGCGTCGGACCAACAATATGTGCCGGACTCTAATAGATTGCATTTAGCCTGGGCCCAACAAGAATATGCCAAAGAGAAATTACATAACTTCATGAGCAATATTGTCCACATGGAATGATTGTGTGGATATAATTAACATGAAGATGATAAGTCATTTCCAAAGGGACGAGATGATGTACCATAGCCTTGACTGTGCGATAGATGATCCACACAGGTACACAACTACTATCCTCCAGAGTTCCTTAACAGTTTGACCCCCAATGGTTTACTTAGAAACATTGACCCCGCAAACGGACTTTGCAATGACACGAGACTAATCATACGTGGGTTCCAAAAGAATACCACCGATACGGAAATCATGTTGGGACAGCAAGCTGGAAAGTGGGTTTTCTTGCCTCACATACCCTTAAGCCCGTCTGATGATGAGATGTTCCCTTTCCATTTTAAGAGAAAGCAGTTTCCCATTCGGCTTAGCTTCGCCATGACTGTCAACAAAGCATAGGGGCAGACTATCCCAAATGTCGGAGTGTATTTGCCTGAACCAGTGTTCTCATACGGCTAGTTGTATGTTGCACTATCTAGAACAGCACCTAGACAAACATCAGGATATTAGCTGTTCCAACTGTTGAGAAGGACGTGAAGAATGGAAAGAGAAAGATCACAATGATAGTACATACACCAAGAGGTGTTAACTCCATAGTTGAGGTAATGTCTTTTTTTTATTACATTTGTACGGTGAAGAAAAATACTTAATGTACCTGGTCATATGTAATTCCAGCTTATCATATACGTGTGTTTTCTGCATAGGGTGGCCAAACACTACAGAAGAACGTTGTGATCAACCTATTAGCGTATGATGGGAATTCACAACGGTGTATGATTCGTACAGCACGAGAATATCTTAGCCACATCGCCAAAAATAAAACTATGAAAGAGATAGTTATGGAGAACTTGTCTATCATATACTACTTGTTTTGACACTACTGCTAAAATTGATGCTTATTTATTCGAATGTCTCAAAATAGTATATCGTTAAGTTGAGTTAAAATTTATTTGTTTATTGATGATCCTATAGCAACACACGGGCAGCTGCTAGTATTAAAAAAAAAAGGCCAAGCACACTACTTGACGTTGGTGTGCTAGTGCCACCCGTGTAGGCAAGTAGGCAACCAGCACTCCAGCAACCCAACAGCAACTACAATCGACTTAAGAGTGCACTGCTGCTTATATTAAAAAAAAACAAGCCCACTTCATCACCACAAATTGCGACGACTGAATCTTTACAACATATTCCGGCTGGCAGGAAGATTCGACAAACTATTTCATCACATGGTACAAGGAAACAGTTCCAACACTGCACCAGGAAACAGCTACAAGGGCGTTAAGAGTTACCAACCAGTACTTGCAGTGGAGTAGCTGCATCGTGCATGACTTCGTGGGGAGAATCTGAACCATGACCAACCATACCTGATACTTTGTCATTACAGTTACAACCAACATAATCATACAGCAACAGAATATTGGTGTCGCCACTTCGTTGTAAAAAATTGTTCATCTAGATTTACAAGACAGAATACAACTTCGCCAAGGATCTGAAGAATCTGCATACACCTCATCAGACGATGAGGACCCACCAGCATTCCTCGGGAGTATCCTTTCCCTCTGCTTACCCGGTGTACAACATTATATTATCACCATTTCAATGGTACAAACTAGGACTGAACAAATTAAACACTTCAGCATCAAATGTTACATTTGTCGTATCCATAAAACCACGAGTTGAGGTCCGTGCTATTGGAGACCTCAAATGATCCACCTTGTTGCAAGGTATTGAACTCCTTCCAATTCTGCCCACTGGGGCTACCAGCTGTGTCATACCTAGGAGGCTCAAGATTGTTCGGTTCTTGTGGCTGTACCGTATCGTCCTTGCACTGAGAGGACTCTGTGAGACGCTGCTTTAGGGCAAGGATTTCCTGATCGTAGTTCTTTTTCAGGTTGTCAATCTCCTGATAAGCTTTCTCTGTCTCTTGCTCTGCCACTAAAGCCTGCTTCTGCAACAAAGGAGTACAAAAGCCTGTTGTAACTGGAAAATCTATGTCATACTACTAAATGTAACAAAATAAGAGCATTCAACATAAATATTTTCCCCCTAAAGTTTTATAATCACCCAAATTCATAAACTCTGTTGTATTATCAACTGCCCACATAAGCTAGTTTTGTCTGTCTAAATGTAAGGTCTAAGCAATGTCAGAAAGCCATACCTTGGCTAGTGTTTCTGCTTCCTCTGCATCCTTCAACCGAACAAGCAATTCACCAGCTGCCTGAACAGCTTCAGCAGTATCCCTTAGCTGGCCCTGAAGGCCTTCATTTTGAGCTTTTAGGACTGAGATTTCAGCTGCAAGGGAGTTGATGAACCGCAATTCAGCACCTTTGATACCGGCCTTTTCTGCCCTCATCTTCACATCCTCAACACCCTCACGCATCCTCCTATGCAGAGCAAGCAAACGAAAATGATTCTCTTGAAGATCAACATATTGTTCCAGGTGTCTTGCAGCTCCTTGGATAGCTGTTTGTACTGCCTCCTTTAGTTCTTCTGAGCATTTCTTCTCAGAATCCAGTTCTAACTGCAACTTTCCAACAAGGGATTTTGCTGCTTCAAGTTCAACTCTAAGCTCTTCTGTGAGTGTAATCCATTTACTCTCAGCTTCAGTCCAATTGGGAGTGTCCCCAAAATTAGTATCTCCATCTTTATCTTTTGTTCCAGGTTCAGAATTACTTCCCTGACACAATGGCACTGGAGGCCAGAATCTACGGATTGATAACGAAGATGAAAGCATGTAATGCAACTGATTTTTCAGATCTTGTATCTCCTCCTGTAGAACTTCTTTCTCGTCCCCAGAATTCCTGAACATGTCCAATTCCTCCTGGAGTCTCTTCAACTCAATTTCAGCATGCAAAACATCAGGATGGTTTTCATATTTCTTTTGGAGGATCTGCGTTTTAAGTGTAACAGAATAGCTGATAAATGCAGTCTTCAAAAAGAAAATACAGTAAGTTAAGTACATGGCAAGGGAAAATTCATGCGACCTTATGCTCATTCGTAAGTGATAAAAACTCTTCATTCATGAATTCTTCAGTTGGTAAAGTTCCATCCATGAGACTCTCAAGCCTAGCAATTTTTCCTTCAAGTGTTTGTGCAATTACAGCATTACATTCGCGTTCATGCTTATACTGTTGCACCTGAAAAAAAAACGGAATGATTTAAACAGAGGAACATATAGCATCTTGTCTTATGTATAGAGAGAAAACACCAACCAGACGATTCAGTTGTTGAATTTCTGCAGCTTGCTTTGCACACTGTTCATCACGTGCCATCTCTCGCCTGATAGCTCCAGCCAAGACCTTCTCCACAGCCTATATAGAAATAAGATATGCATGAGTGCTTTACACCCGACTTAACTGATCTACAAATTCATGCGCCGAGCCTCTTTTGGTTAAACTTACTTTCAGAAAATGTCGCTGCTTTTGGTCATCAGATGGTACTGTCACATCAGCTGGTACTAGTTGTAGGTCTCTGCAAGCACTGGGATCCCTACTCTCAGTTGCAGAAGCTTCAAGCAGACAACTAGGAATCAGAGCTAGAGGGTTATCTCTGGTTTCATATTCTTCAGGATCAGTCTGAATTGCAACATCAACCTTGCAAGGTTGAATATCCATGATTCTAGCATTTAATCCAACCGATGCTCTCCTCCATGCACTATTGTTTTGGTGACTTTCAATGACTTGAAGTCCCCTCTGTATACTGGCGGCAATGTTTAATTTGCATTTTCCATCTCCAATATCAGTACCAGTGTTAAATTTATTAGCACTACAGCAGGACCTTTTTATGGATATCAAATTCTTATCCCTATCAAGATCTTCATCATGTGAAGTTCCAGCACTTACATCCATAGAAGCTTGTAAACTTTTGGAGTCTTCTTTAACGTTAATAGGAGACATTGCAATATTTTCATGATTGTAGGGCTTCTCAACATCATTCTCATCAATTTCCATTTCCTCATCACTATCTTCTTTTATACATTGGAATGTTGCAGGATGACCCAAGCTCATTTTCAACAGATGCAAACTGCGCCGAGGGTTCCATCCAGTGGCAAAGCTGCCATTATTCCCTTCTATGCATCCATTAGATTTCATTCGGTGAAGTTCATCCTGCATTGTAGGATATGGATAATAACACCTTACTGATGAGCATGGTTTCTAAGGCAACTAGGCGTTCAGGCGAATGCTGGGTCCACCGAGACGCCTAGGTGACAAGGCATCACTGTTTCCCAAGGCATGCTGGGTACGCCTGGACGCCTAGGCAACGCCTTTGAAACAGGGCTGATGAGGCATGAACCAAAACAGCAATATTATAGAGAAACTTGATTGTCAGATGGAACACAATCATACCTTCAATTGCCTGATTTGCTCACGCAGCGCATTTACATCTTCAACTTTCTCTTCATTAACCACGGCATTGTTTTTTATAGCTTTTGCACGTTGGGCAAACCTAAGTGTGCTTAACGTTTCACTCTTACAGCTGAATGACAAGAAAATGCAGTGACGAATCCAGAAACCAATATTAACTGGCCACAGAATTAATGAATTGACAGTCAACTTAGATGGTACCTTTGGGATGGTGAAACAGCACAAATCATTGCCAGTTTGGCATTGCCTCCAAGGGATTCTTGTAATAGAAATGTGAGCTTGGAATCACGATATGGAACATGGTGCCTTTGTTTTCCGGACTGCGATATTTCTGCAAGTATATTAATCAAGTTTCTGCAGTGAACAAGAACATATAGTTAAAGAACCCTCATTTCACAACCATATTCAATGGCTGTAACGTTACACCTAAACAGGAAAAAAAACAATGGTTGAGCTGCCAGTCCACAAATCAGCCTTTCTTCCAAAACCACTAACTTTATTTATCGTGGCTCCCATGCATAGATATGTCTACTGGACACACTATAAATATATTTGTGTTAATTCTTACAAATAGCCTTCACTTGATTGCAACATCATATGTTGCCTTTTATTGCCCCAACACTTTAGATGTGCTATTAAATTGGTCAACTGGTACATCTTAATTCCTGTGCCAAGAGCTAAAAGAGAATGCAATATACATAGAGAATAGCGCTACCTCCGTTCCGAAATGTAGGTCATTTTAATTTGTTCTAAGTCAAACTTCTCTAACTTATACCAACTCTAAAGAAAGAGGCAGCGATGACTACAAGACTACTACATCAAATTTATTTTGATGGTGCATTCATTTGGCATCGTAGATGTTAATTATATTTTTCTATAAACTTGTCCAAATTTGAGAAGTTTGACTTATAACAAAACTAAAACTACCTACATTTTGGAACTGAGGAAGTATGTGGCAGCTAAACTAAATGGAAATAATATATTATATTCATAACTAAAATACAAATATCAAATCTACAACAATACATGTTTATCCCAAAAACAACAGTGAGAATGACTACAGAATTGTAGAAATCACAATTAGCAATAAACATATTTTATAAGAATTTCTAACCATGATGCACATCATGCATGTATTGAATCAAGAGACCATTGCTCTATCAAATGTGGTAACCATGATATGTGGAACTGTTGATAGGCATGATACCGACTCATGTTTGACAACTTAGAGCAAGTACAATAATTGGCTTATCGCCAAGCAAATGCTGATATGGAGGAGAGAAGGGAGGAGAGAGAGGAGAGCTTGGCTCTCATAGTCTCATGCAAGCAACAAGCTAGGCACGGATGCATATGCAGTGGTGGGTCCATACATTAAGTGAATGTGAGGAGGATTAGGAATGAGATGGTGGGACATGGATTAAACTACAATAAAAAAGTTTCTTATAGACAAATAAGATATCACTATTGTATAGTTTGGCTCTTGCAACTTGGCTAATAGCCAAACACTTGGCTCTATTATTGGACTTGCTCTTATGAAATCATTTAATAACTCAAGTGCTATGCATCTCTCATTCCAGGACATCAAGCAGAACCACATCCATCATTAGTAAAGTAGACTTCAACTGAGTTTAGATATCAGCCAGTGTCTGGAGAATTAGCAAAAACCTTGCTTAAATCCTTGAACTCTTTTACTTTTCATTGAAAGTACAAACAGAACTTTACCCAAGCTGTGAAAGTGAACGGTTTATGTTTCCAGCTTCTTTCAATCGATCCCCAGCTGCATGTGTTAGTTTTTGTCGCTCTGATCCAGCAAGGTCTACCAAGTTTATCCTGCTTGATCTTGTGATGCTTGAGCCATCCTCTGGATTCTATAGAACAAGAGCAAAATACGTAAACAACTATTTGATGCATCTATACTGAAACCAACAATATCTTAGACAGCATTTAGTGATTTAAGCAACAGAAACATTTTTAATGCATTCATATAAGCGAAGCAACTAGCAAGCACGGCTTTCTTGTATATAAATGTCATTTCTGTCAGCACATGAACAGATACAAGCCCTTTAAGCTGCATATTGCACAGTACAAACAGAATGGACCAAGAATGAATAATAAAAGGTTGTGTATCATGAAGTCATGATAATTCTCCTTTGCATTGAAGCCACAGAGATTGCAAGGATTCAGTACATTAATTCTGTTAGCATACATTTCAGAAACATTTGAAAGAACATTAAAGCACTCCATATATAAGAGAACAGAATGTATATAGCTGAAGCCTAAAGAAATCAGGTTATTGGCAAGGTACATATGCACAATCAACCAAAAAAAAAAGATATTCCACAGATTAACTATTCCAAGTGTTCCTCTGGTTGGTATATGCAATCATCAAACATAAAAAACCATTCAGTCCACACAAGCATCTCAGTTTGGCATCTGCTTTTGTTAGAATGGAACAAACTAGAACTATACCTCATGCTCATGTAAAGAAATGACACAAACTCAGAAGAACAATCAGCTCGTAGAAAGGCAATGATAGAGAACCATTATCAGAATGTCAAGAAAATGCACTCGTTACAATTACATTTTGCTAATTGACAACTGATAAATGATTAAGATAATATGTATATATATTATTATTGGGCCAAATTTCAATGAATACCTTAGAATCCGACTTAATGACACACGTAAAAACACAATGCGAGCGTGAGCTATCAGCATTTGCGCTCGTTGCCCCTGTCCTCCGGTTTGCCAGGCCCTGCATTAATTGCAATAAATCTATTCAACACAAAGTTAAGAAAAATAGGATGTATTTGTAGAGCATACAGAAATATATCAATCTCTAGTGAAGCAGCAGGCCATGTTGCGATGAAATTATGCAGAACCAAGTGTTATGTAGTTTGTGTACATCAAGAGGTGCCATAAAAATCTTCCATGACGGTACAACTATGTTCACTGATAGACAGAACTCAGGCAATTTTTCACCCTTTCAACGTAGTCTAGTGACAAAATCATCATACGCATAATTAAAATTTGTATCTGAGAGTGGCATATGCCAAATACAAATGTCAGAAATTAGGTTCAATGTCATCACAACAAATAGATGGAGATGGGATACATTAGATGTCAATATTTGGAGACACACCTTAACCAACAACTGAGTTACATCCTTCATGGTGAAAACCAACTCCTTTGTCAATGATTCAACATAAACACCGGCAGTTCTGACATCCTCTCTAATCTGCAAAGGAATAGGACATATATATATTAGCAAACTGAGAAAAGGATTTCCTCCTATGCCACTGAACAGAGGCCTTTTCACAAGCTTTTTCACCTGAAGATTCTTCTGTGAGGGATCTAGCAAATCAGTTATCTGTTCATTGTAGATCTGCACATTATAATAATATTGGATCACATTTCATGTGTCAAACAAGAATGAATACAATATTTGCTAGGTACTAAGAAGAGAAATTGCCTCGAGAAACGAGCAGACACAATTGTAAGTTAGCTCTTTATCTGCATGTTTAACTTGTTCCTGTAAATGGGGCATGTTTCAGATTTAACTCAGAAAAATACTTAAAAGAAAGAAGTTTTAGAAAGAAAAAAAACTATCACGTTACTTCATTAATGCGGGAGAACAACTGCTCAAATACACGAGGTGTCAAGCCCCTCTGGCTGCTCACTGAATCTTCTGACAATGCAGATAGAGGCCCCCACATAGTGTACGTTTTCCCACTGCCAGTCTTTTAAAGTGACAAAATAAGAATGAGGGACTATTAGTCAGTTTATGTTCAGGTACCAGCCATTACATGGCTTAGATGTTAAAATGAAGATAAATCACCTGTCCGTAGGCAAATATGGAGCTGTTGAAACCCGATAAGCAATTTTCAACAAGTGGCAGCCCAACAAGGGTGAAGATATCCTCCTATAAGTACATAAAAGTCAAACACAAAAGACCAAACCCATCACAAAACCAAACAGAGATTGCACACTTAAACAATAGGTTAGAATAGCTAACCAATGAAACTAGCCAAAAGAAACAACCAGCACTTATAATCCCCCCAAACAAAATCCATTAAGAGCACAGAACACTATATTCAGATAAAAACTAACATTAGCTACTTGCAGTAAAACAAGACCTCGACCCTGGCCTCTGCCAAATCACACATAAAATTTTAGGTTATATACGAATCCACAGATGCATAAATCGCCTCAGCACTTATGAAATAACACTATACAAGTACCATATATACGCTGCTCACTGAAATGACTCCAAAATTCAGCTAATCTAGACCGTGTACATAGAATCCCCAAGCTTAGAGAAACTACCCCAAAACCACCCAAAAATTTCACCCAGCCTAACCTGCGTGGAGGCCGAGTCAGTGACAGCATCGAACGTGAAGTCCTGCCCCTGGATCGCGACCGAGTTGGCCGCCGTCTTGCGCACGCAGGCCTCCGGCCCCCGCCCATCCTCGCCTGCCTCCTCCTCATCGACCCAGCACGACGGCCGTATCCTCACCACCACCTGTGACCAGAAGAGCAAAACCGGCAGAGCCAACAGCCGTCAGGCCAGATCCATAGTCCCAACACGGAATACCTTAAATCGCCCACGAAGCCCTAGACGTACCTGGACGCCGGAGTCGGGCCCGGGCGAGGCGTCGTGCGTGGGGCCCGCCGCGGCCGCCGCAGAGGAGACTTCGAGCTTCCTCTTTAGTGGGTTAGAGGACGGCGGACGCGGTGGCAGGCGGTTGCGGGAGGAGAGAGGTTTGGCCGCGGAGGACGGGGAGCGGAAGGGGGAGGCGCCGTGGTCGAGGGCGGAGTGGTGGTAGTTGCGCGCCGGGGAGGAGGGGTCGACGTTCTCCTTGGAGATGCGGCGACGAGGAGGGGTCTCAACGCCGCCGGAGAAAGAGGGGGGAGGCGGCGTAGCGGGGTGGCGCGCGTGCCGCGAGAAGAGGGACCGCATGGCTCAATGGCTGGCTGCGGAGGCCGCGAGTGGGAGAGGGAGACGTCGGCAGGGGGGAAGGGGATTTGAATTTTTTCGAACGGCACAAGTCGAGTCGGGGGTGGGGAAAGGGGAAAAGGATGGGTCCGTTCGGCCGATGGGATCTGACCTCGGGTGCAGTGTCTGTGTGCGGGCTGGGCCGAATCATCAAGCCCCACGTGTCCTAATAATGTGCTGCCGATATTTGACACTAAACGCTAGGACAACTTTAAGTATTTTTCTATCACCATGTTCGCTGGATCGTATCTAACTTATAAGTCATGTTTTATCAGTCAGTAAATAGTATTTTTTTTTCGTACCAAATCAGTCAATAGTACTTTTAGCAATAGTTTATAAGCCAAACAAGTCCAAACGAACAGGGCGTATATCTATATGTATAACTATACCTAATAATAAACTGGCAAAATTTTTGGCTATTTTTTTCGTCTATCCATTTTTTTGTCCGTCTTCCTCTAGCTACCGGATAATGGAGGGTTTTTCCATCTAGACTTATATATATAATCCGTGCTCATGCGAGTTAGAATAGCCCTTGTCTAGTATGATACGGAGTCCGATTCCAAAACGTATTGGGTTGTGTATAATCTATTTAACAAAAGAGACTATACTCCTACGTAAAAAAAGTCCATACCCAATACGATTACTATATGTAGTAAATTCGGGTTTTTTATTTCCTATTCCGTCATCTGTTCGGCCTTTTCCTGTTTTTTTAGACTATCTCCGATCAATTACTGTATCTGATCCGTTTTTATTTTCGTATTCGTTTCACTTCTTCTGATTTTCTCTTTTTGTTTTTTCTTCTTCTTTTTCCTTTTTTCTGCTGTTGAGGTGAAGGCAATTGAGATTCTAGGCAAGTTTTTGAAGAAAGAAAAAGATTTGATGGATAAGATTGTGAGAAAAGATTACAAGCCTCTGAATAGAATTTTTAAAATTGCCCAGATCAAATATGATGAAAAACCTCCACCCGCGTATACTCATGCAGTGAAGCCGAGCATAGAAAATGTTAGGAAGAAGAAAAGAGCTGGTGGACAACTTGCTAAAGGGGTGTTTGAATCCGGTAACTAAAATTTAGGAGGTGTCATGTGAGGGCATCGTATGGGGTGTTCGAATACTAATAAAAAAACAAATTACAGAATCCATTAGTACTCCACAAGACAAATTTATTAAGCCTAATTAATCCGGCATTATCACATGTTTACTGTAGCACAACATTGTCAAATCATGGACTAATTAAGCTTAAAAAATTCATCTCGCAAATTAGTCGCAAGCTATGCAATTAGTTTCGTAATTAGTCTATATTTAATACTCCATGCATGTGTCCAAACATCCAATGGGACAACGACTAAAGTTTAGAAGAAGAAACCAAACACCCTCTAAGAAGGCTAGCAAGAAAAAAAAGGTTTCAACTTTTTTTGATTCAGAAAAAATTGTAGAAGATGAAGTTGATTTGGGTCTTGATGCTGACAATCAAGAGGTTCTTAGTCAGCAAGCTTGTGAAGATGAGGTGAGAATGATTAGTTTAGTTTTTAATTCTAGTGGTTTGACTCCGCCGATGTTGACTCCGCTTGGTGACTATTTCTAAAATTTAGCGAGTACTTTTCATTCTGATGAAAATATTGGCGGAGGTATCTTGTTTTCGCCTTAGAAAAATATTGGCGAAGACACTTTGCCTTCTTCATCTCCTATTGTTGATACTGCTGCTATTGTTGCTACTACTGCCGCTGGGAGGCAGACTGAAGAAGGTGAGAGTGTGACTATGGCTTTCGTAGGAAACTGCAAAGCCGTCTTCTCAAAGATTTATTGCTGAAACTCCACAAGGAACTGCAGGAGATGTTGGTGCTACTCTTCATGTTGCCTCACCTTCCCGAGTTGTGATGCAAGATTCTGATTTAGGAGGGCTATGGAGACTGATGCTCCAAAAGCTAAGGCTCACAAGGGTAAGGGTACATTTTGATGATTCTGATGACGATGTATTTGACGAAGAGGCCATCTTACTGAGTCCACAATTAATGTGAACACTGGTGAAAAAGTTGCATGTCAACTCGAAAAGAGTGTTTCTATGGGTAAGCTTGTTTTTTATTTTTGTATTGGTTGATTTGAATTTTGAGTTTATGTTTCTTCTTATTTTAAACTTTGTTTTTTTTGTGTAGAGAAAATTTTCCCTGATCCTTCATCTCAGAAGGAGATGACTGTTGATATTGGGAAAATGAAGGATGTGGCTCAGGAACCTGCTACTCCTGTCGAAGCCTTAGAAATAGTTCCTGGTGGAGTTGATCCTGAGGCGTATACGAGGTGCATGGAGTACTGCCAAGCTCAAGGTGTGAATTTAGACACTTTTAAATTTGTTAAGATTGGCTTGGACAAACTTTGCATTATGTCAAGGAAGTCAGAGCTAAAGTTGTCAAAGTATATTGATGATGCCTTCATAGTTTCTGATGCTAAGGGTCAACTTGCTGGGAAATCTTCCCTTGAGTTGGCAGATGCAAGTGTTACTATTATTTACAAGCTACATATATTTTTGCCTGACTTCGTATGTTAATTTGGCTTTGTGACTTAATATTTATGTGGTGTTATATTTTGTAGAATGCTCTTTTGCAAAGGAGTTTGCGTAAGTCTCTCGAAGAAGATGCAAAGAATGCGGCACTTCGTGAAAAAAGTTTGCTTGAGGAGATTAAATCTTTGAAATCTCAACTTGTTGCTAAGGAGAAAGAAAGAGTGGAAACGGTTAAAGCTCTCAATAATATGGAGTCAAGGTGTATCTCTATTGGGACCAAGCTTGAGACAAAGACTAAAGATTTTGATAACTTGAAGAAAGATCTTGATAAGGTTGTGGGAGAGAAAAATTATCTTGAGAAAAAGTCTACTGAGAAAGATAAAAAATTTCATGATAAGTGTAATCGTCTGTGGGAACTTTACAAGAATTGTTATGATAAGTTTGGTGCGAAGCCAGAAGATCCTTGCTGGGATCTTGGGGAGTTTGACCCATTTTTTGCTTTGTTATGCCCCCAATATGAGGATTTGCCCATTGTTATTCAGACTAGTGCTGATTTGAGTTGTGTGTATTCAACTCGTGCACTTTTTCATTTGATGAAGGAGGCAAAAGATCCTTTGTATGAACAGATGCTAGATAAGGATTATAAGTTTCCTTCTATGGAGCGTTTCTTCTTGGACTCAGCTACTTTGCAAGAAATATTTCAATCAATATTGGAACCTTGGTAGCAGAGAGAGTGATTTTCTGAAGGCAAAGAAGAAGATGGAAAAGGTTAGATTGAAAAAAAATACTCTTCTTTTTCGTTTGTTTCCCTTTTTGTGAGTTTTTATTCTAATATTTTGTTTTCTTTTTGCAACAGCTTAAAAAAGAAATTACTGCTGGCGAGAAGGAGCAGAAGGAGCAAGACAAGCGTGATGAGAAAAATGCTAGAGATGATGGTGTTGGTGATCATCCATTTTAGTTGTCGTCGTAGTTTAGTTTTTAGATTTTGAGTTGAGGGGTGATGTTTTAAAAAACCTTTGACGTTTGTAAATATTGAACTGAGCAGGATAAAATTGGTGTTATGCCATTGTTAATGTGTAAGGACAACTTTGTTGTTGAACCTTCGCTGTGGTTGGAGTATGCAACTAGTGAGGCGAATCCTACGTTTGATACATTTGTTGAATGTAAGCTGACGTAAGCGTTAATGTTTTGATGCCTTAGTTTTTGATGTTGTGATTATTTTGTTGATGATGTATGCTGTTTTAGATTTTGAATCTAAAAATCTTGTTGATGAAAACAAGAAACCTTGTTTGCGACGTGTTGTTGACTTCAGCAAATTTTCCCAAGAAATTGTTTATTTTTCTTTTTCTCCTTTTTTGTGATGATATTTGAACTAGATAAGTTATATTTTGACACTCTTATTTTCCAGTCATCATGCTCAAATGTTTCACCAAGTTTTGTTTCTGAGGATTTTCTTTGCTTAGAAGTGGATCGTGTGTTGGATAAAGTTGTTGAAGACTTAATTAGTGAAGCTGCAACTATTGTAGTTTCAGAAAGTGATTGATTTTGACTATTGTTGTAAACTTGCCTCCCTATGTTGTAATATGTAATAAATGAGTTTGTTTCATAATGAATTTGAAGTCTCTATACTTTGTTTTATATTGATGCATGTAGTTTTGCAAAGGCAATGTGTAGACTTCGCTTAGAAGTCATAATTCACCTTAGTGAATTTTGAAAAAACATCGTTCGCTCACTTTTTTGTGAAGGCAATGCGTAGACTTCGTTTAGAAGTCATGATTCACCTTAGTGAACTTTGAATAACGTTGTCCTCTCACTTTTTTGCAAAGGCAACACGTAGACTTAGCTTTAGAAGTCATGATTCACCTTAGTGAATTTTGAAAAACGCTGTCCCCTCACTTTTTTGCGAAGGCAATGCGTAGACTTCGCTTTAGAAGTCATGATTCCCCTTAGTGAATTTTGAAAAACACCGTCCCCTCACTTTTTTGCGAAGCCAACGTGTAGACTTCGCTTTAGAAGTCATGATTCACCTTAGTGAATTTTGAAAAACGTCGTCCCCTCACTTTTTTTTGCGAAGGTGACGCGTAGACTTCGCTTAGAAGTCATGATTCACCTTAGTGAATTTTGAAAAACACCATCCCCTCACTTTTTTGCGAAGGCAACGCGTAGACTTTGAAAGGTCCTAATGGCTGGAGGGGGGTGAATAGGCTATTAAAATTTCTACAACAACACTTAACAAACCTGTTATACAATTATGAGGCGAAGCAAGTGTTGCGCTAGCCTACTAAATTGCAAGCCACCTACCACAATTCTAGTTTCTATAGTCTCTATCCACACAATGGCTGTCACTATACTAAGTTAGTGTGCTCTCAAAGACTAACTAAAGAGCCACACTAACCAAACTAACAAGCTCTCACAACTAGCTACACTAAAGAGCTTGACAACTAGTTTGCAGTAATGTAAAGAGAGAGAGCAAGATGGTTATACCGCCGAGTCGAGGAATAAACCAATCAATCACAAGAATGAATACCAATGAAGACCAATCACCTCGAAATCAAATGATGACACAATGATTTTTTATCGAGGTTCACTTGCTTGTCGGCAAGCTAGTCCTTGTTGTGGTGATTAACTCATTTGGAGGTTCACGCACTAATTGGCATCACATGCCAAACCCTCAATAGGGTGTTGCACAACCAACACAAGATGAGGATCACACAAGCCATGAGCAATTTACTAGAGTACCTTTTGGCTCTCCGCCGGGGAAAGGTCAAGAACCCCTCACAATCACTACGATCGGAGCCGGAGACAATCACCAACCTCCACTCGACGATCCTCGCTGCTCCAAGCCGTCTAGGTGGCGGCAACCACCAAGAGTAACAAGCAAGTTCCGCAGCAAAACACGAACACCAAGTGCCTCTAGATGCAAACACTCAAGCAATGTACTTGGATTCACTCCCAATCTCACAAAGATGATGAATCAATGATGGAGATGAGTGGGAGGACTTTGGCTAAGCTCACAAAGTTGCTATGTCAATGCAAATAGCCAAGAGAGTGAGCTAGAGCCAGCCAAATGGTATTTATAGACACCCCCAAACAATAGAGCCATTGGCTCAATTATTGGGCAGACTACGGGATGACCGGACGCACCGATCGTGTGCACCGGACATGTCCGGTCGCTGCCTGACCGCCACGTGTCCCATTCAAATGAAGTAGCCATTGCTTCCACGAGTACCACACTCAACTGCGACCAAACGTGTCCGGTGTGGACGACCGGACGTAGGAAACTCAATGTCCGGTTGAGTCCAGAGAGCTCCCAGAGCCGCTCTGGGCCGACCGGACGCGTCCGATCACTTCAGACCGGACGTGGGAGACATAGTGTCCGGTCGAGTCTAGAGAGCTCTCACAGCCACTCTGGACCGACCGAACATGTCCGGTCACACCGGACCGGACGCTCCCAGAGTCCGATCAATTTTACCGCTGAAAACCCGAGACTCATTGATTCACATCGGACGCATCCGGTGTGGCGTCCAGACGCGTCTGGTCGCTCTCTGAAATCCAGTACCGAGCTACATCACATTGACCGGACACTGAACAGTAACTCCTCAGCGTCCGATCGCTCCACTGGGCCAGAGTCCGGTCATTAATACCGGACGTGTCTGGTCACTCTGTGACCAGCGCGACTAACTCCTTTTCAACTCTATCTTCTTTACCCTTGCTCAAATGTGCCAATCACCAAGTGTATCACCTTGTGCACATGTGTTAGCATATTTTTACAAATGTTTTCAAGGGTGTTAGCACTCCACTAGATCCTAAATGCATATGCAATGAGTTAGAGCATCTAGTGGCACTTTGATAACCGTATTTCAATACGAGTTTCACCCCTCTTAATAGTATGGCTATCGAACCTAAATGTGATCACACTCACTAAGTATCTTGATCACCGAAACAAAATGGCTCCTACCACTTATACCTTTGCCTTGAGCCTTTTGTTTTTCTCTTTCTTCTTTTTAAGTCCAAGCACTTGATCATCACCATGGCATCACCATCATCATGTCATGATCTTCATTTGCTTCACCACTTGAAATGTGCTACCTATCTCATGATCACTTTGATAAACTAGGTTAGCACTTAGGGTTTCATCAATTCACCAAAACCAAACTAGAGCTTTCAGATTTCACTTTAGAAGTCATGATTCACCTTAGTGAATTTTGAAATACGCCGTCCCCTCACTTACTTGCGAAGGCGACGCATAGACTTCACTTAGAAGTCATGATTCACCTTAGTGAATTTTGAAAAATGTCGTCCCCTCACTTTTTTGCGAAGGCAACACATAGACTTTGCTTAGAAGTTAAGATTCACCTTAGTGAATTTTGAAAAACTAAAAGGTAGATAGAATATTTGTTTAGATAGGTTAGCATTGTTTTTTGCTTGTTCGAAAAATGATGCTACCTATTTTAGTTTTGTTTTAGCCGATATTTGAGTATATTTTAAGTATACTCTTCGGCTTTTGTTGGTTTTGCTATACTCAAGACTTTAGGGTAATAGCTTCTCATTTATATTTGATGAGAATTTATAGTAGAGACTGCCTCGTTAAAAAACCACTCACCCTATGAAGGGCTCCCCCTAAGTGGAAAAAGTGTGCAACTCGTTTACATTTGAATTGGAACTTTAGAATGTAAAAACAACTAATCTACTTCTAGAGCAAAACTTGTAATGAGAAGGATGAAAGTCTAAGGGTAGTATCTTCGCAGTGCTTCATTGTTCCAGGTGTGGTCAATCTCTTTCCCATTCATATCTGCCAAGTCGAATGATCCCAACTTATTTGTCCTTGTGATGAGATAAGGACCTTCCCATTTTTGCTGAAACTTTCCAACTGTATCTTTGTTTCCTTTTCTTTTTAGAACAAAGTCTCCTGGTGAAAGTTGCCTTGGCTTTACTTTCTTGTTATACCAATTCTTTGTTTCTTTTTGGTATTTCTCAAGATTTTGGATTGCTTTCATCCTTTCTTCTTCGAGCAAGTCTTTGCTGGTTATCTGCTCTTCTTCAATGATTTGCACATTGGTTCTTATACCTTCAAACTTTATTTCTTTAGGTGTCATTGCTTCTTCTCCATACAATAGTTTGAATGGTGTAAAGTTTGTTGATCTTGAAACTGTTGTGTTGTGAGCCCAAATGACATTTGGTAGTTCATCAACCCATTTTCCCTTAGGAAGCCCCACTAGGCATTTTGAAATTCTGGTGCATATGATTCCATTTGCTCTTTCGACTGCACCATTTGACTGTGGGTGTCTGACTAAAGCGAAGCATAATTGGATTCCCATATTTTGATAGTAGTTTCTGAAATCTTGATTGTCAAACTGAGTTCCATTATCTACTGTAATGTGTCTTGGAACTCCAAAACGGCATATGATGTTCTGCCATAAAAATTTCTTCATTGTAAAAGAAGACACATTTGTTACTGGCTTGGCTTTGATCCACTTTGTGAAATATTCTACTCCCACTATTGCATATTGAAAATTTCCATGAGCTAGAGGTAGTTTGCCTATTATGTCAATTCCCCATCTTACAAGTGGCCAAGTTGGTTCTATTGTTTGTAAGTTTGTTGCTGGAGCTCTAATCTTGCTAGCAGACATTTGACAATTGTGACAAGACTTGACTATTTCTTTGCTGTCACTTTAGGCTGAAGGCCAATAGAATCCTTATCGGAATGCTTTCCCTGCCATGGCTCTTGCCCCTGGATGTGTGCCACAAATCCCTTCATGTATTTCTGATAAAAGTTCTTTTCCTTCTTCTACAGATATGCATTTGAGAAGTGGTTCACAAATTCCTTGCTTGTACAACTGATTGTTAATGATTTCGTAATTTCTTGTCATGTGTTTCATTCTGACTTCATTAACTTCATCTTCTGGTTCATAATGTCCTCGAAGATATGCCTTGATTGGTGCTCTCCAGTCTTCGCTT